AGTCATCGACTGAATAGTTTTGGCGATAACATGTAGTAGCCCTGAATCATGTACTGCGCTACCAAGTGCTATACCACTCATTTGAGAGAATTTATAGTCTGGCAAAGAAATACTATTTGGAGGGATATTATTGGCTTAGAAAGAAAGTCGTATGCCGTAGGTGTGAAAGCACCCGTAACAGTAGGACAATTAGTCGAAACTCCAGCAAACATTAAAACACCTTTTGGCATGGTAACCATGCCTAGCACCTTGTGGAAAAGTGTTTTGTCGTTGGTAGTTTGCGTTGTTGCATTTTTAATCTGTTTGTATGCAAATTTGTTTGACAAAGTAGAACAAAACAACTGCTTTGCTCTATTGGTATTTGCTAGTCTTCTTTGGTCTTTAGAAGTAAGATTATCTTGGTTTAACTGTGATCTTTTAAATTTTATATTATTTATATTTATTATTTATATGATCATAATATTTATGCAACACAGGTTATACCTCTTTTCGTCACGTCACTTTTAGTTCCACTACTGGTCGTATGTTTACGCGTATTACGTTCAGGTGAACGTCCACACGAGCGACTTGATGCACACGAAACGACGAAGCTTATTTTTTCCACCATGTTTTCACCAGTTATAATGCTACTTTTGGGTGGCTTTGCTATTGCTGCTGCACTGAGTAAATATCATATTGCCCAAATGATGGCAACAGTTGTGTTATCGAAAGCTGGAACAAATCCAAGTTTTGTTCTTCTGTCCAATATGTTTGTCGCAACCTTCGCAAGCATGTGGATAAGTAATGTCGCTGCACCAGTTTTATGCCTTTCAATAATTCAAGTAATTATTATTATTATTATTTGTCGGCGAAATCCGCGTCAGAGGTGGTTACATTATTGATGCATATCACCACTTAAAATATTATCTAACCTAATTAAATATAGATCTTCATCTTAAAAAAAACAAAAACGCGGGCTTCACCTTCCATATTATTATTACAAAATATATTTCTATATATAGTAATCAGCTAATTTTTTACATGTTACATAGCCAATTCTTCGAAACTTGCCTCCAGATAGCTCATTTGGACGATGCTTAATTTTGGGAATTGCTTTAGCATCAAATGTTGGTGGCATGGCATCTCCCATATCATCACCACAAAACATAGTAGCAATTCAAAATATGAGTCCTTCTCCTACATGGGCTCAATGGTTCCTCATAGCTATTCCATTATGTATCTTAGTGGATGGTTTAATTTGGCTTTTACTACTTTGGAATTATCAACCACATAGTGATTCACTAACAATTCACCCAATTCGACCAACCAACGATCTTTGGACTGGAACTCAAGTATTTGTTATTGCGGTCACTATCATAACAATTTTATTATGGTGTATTGAAAAGCAATTGGAATTTTTCTTTGGAGATATGGGTGTTATAGCAGTAGTACCATTGATCTTATTCTTTGGTACAGGCATTTTAACTAAGGAGGATTTCAACAATTTTCTTTGGACAGTTATTATATTGGCAATGGGTGGTATAGCACTTGGTAGCGCAGTACATGATTCAGGGCTACTACATGTTATCGCCAAAACTATTCAGTCGATGACT